CCCCCCCCCCCCCCCCACTTCCCCCAACGGCAAGTTAGTTGTTTTTCAGTTGATCGTATCCTTACCAGCACTTGATGGAGTCGTCGTCAAGGAGTGCGCAAGTGTGCGACTCGCCCGCGGCGATGGCGGTCGCCACGGAACCGTCGAGATCCACAGCTACAAGCTCAAGGCCAGACCCATCCAGGCGGTCATCGCTGTCGCCGGTACCGAGCTGGCCGTGCGTGTTGCGCCCCCTGTCCGTGATTTTTTTTCGTTGCAGTCATCGGCGGCGGCGTCAACACCAGCACGCAGCGATGTCAGGAGACGGAGAGCAGGGGCTTGAGAGGAGCGACGCGGGGGGATGGATTCTGTCACCCCACGGTGTTGGAAGGACGTGACATTCATGTGTCGGCAAGAAATACGGTTTTCCCACTACGCGGGAGCGCAGCACACACGCGGCGCGTGTGCCTGGGGTGGTCGCGCCGTCTACCAGACACGAATCGCACATGATGCCTACACAAGACAAATCTCTCGCGATAGGCTTTTCTAGTTTTCGGTCATCACTAGCGGAAACAAGATATGCGGGAGGGAGAGATCGAGCGGAGGGGTGGAGGAAGACGGGCTCACCAGCACATGACGGTGCCGTCGTCCATGAGCGCGCAGGTGTGGTCGCAGCCGGCCGCCACAGCGGACACGGTGCCGTCGAGAGACACCGCCGGAAGGTCGTCACCCATCTCGCCCGCGTCGTCTCCCATGTTGTCCGTGGTGCCCTGTTGAGGCAGTCGGGGGCGGGGGCGGGGGTCGTTGGGTGTTTGTGAACCACGCGAGAAACGAGATTTGGTGCAACGTTAGGGTGTCCAGTACTCGAAAACAGGTGCCGAACCCGACCAGAAATTACTGTGGTATACCTACAATTCCGCTCGCGCTTAGGATACCAAAATACAACAAACACGGGTCAGGATCTGCACCCAACACTAGAGGAGATGGTTTCAAACACTGGACAGCATGTCCAGCGCCCCTCCCTCATGTATCTTAATTTGTATATATCTTCGGTTCTCCTGCCACTTGAAGCAACATCAGGCTCCTCGCCTGGCCCAGCTGCCCATAGTTGTTGTACCCGAAGCACTTGACGGTCCCATCGTCGAGCAACCCGCAAGTGTGCCTGCACCCCGCCGCCACCGCCACCGCCGACAGTCCCGCGCCCAGGTCAGCCGCCTCGCCCACGTCCCCCGCGATCTGGCCGCGGGTCGACGTGTCCCCGAGGCCGAGCTGACCGGAGTCGTTCTTGCCGAAGCACACCACATCTCCGGAGTCCAGGAGCATGCAGGTGTGGTCCTCACCCAGGGCCATCTCAGCCACGGTGCCCCCAACCGACACTGCGACGAGGTTGTCGCCCATCTCGTCCGGGTCGTCGCCGACCATGGTGGTGTTGTCACCGCGACCGAGCTGCCCCCAGCGGTTGTTCCCTGGGCGCGCAGCGAAGTGAGGGGCGGTAAGGGGGGAAAGGGGGTGTTGTCCGGGGACGGGGGGAGTGTTGTCAGGGGAAAACGGGCGGGTGTTGATGGGGAACAGCAAGAGTGTTGGTTCGGAAATCTGCCCGTGCGCGAATGTATTTTATGATATCATCGCTACTCTGAGGATGAGGATCTAGATGACGAGGGGGATAAGATGGGGGGAGGTGGGGGGGGGG